GAGGAATGTCATATGAGGAAAGGTTAGTTGAGCTAAATCTGTTCAGCCTCAAGCAAAGGAGACTGAGGGGGGACATGATCCTGGTCTATAATATTCTAACAGGTTTGGATGCTGTTCAACCAAATAGTTACTTCAGCATTAGTTCAAATACAAGAATTCGTGGCCATAGGTGGAAATTAGCGGGAGAACATTTCAAACTGGATTTAAGGAAGCACTTCTTTACACAGCGTGTAGTCAGAGTATGGAATAGTCTTCCTGATAATGTAGTGCAAGCTGAATCAGAGCTAGATAAGATATTAACAACTCTGAGTTATTAGTTAAGTTCTCCCCAAGTGAGCTTGATGGGCCGAATGGCCTCCTCTCGTTTGTATAGTTCTTATGTTCTTAAGTAAACCAGTATGTTTCTATTTATACTGTATGTTACTCTAATACTTGCCAGTTAAACATAGCCATATTTGTTAGTTAATGTGTTATAATGGAATAGTGAAGCCATTTCACCCCAACCATTGTGTGAGGGGTCATTGTATGTGAGGAATATTTGTCCGGAAATTGTGACAAGCCACAATATTTCTGCAACCAAATGAGCTCCATTTCAGTGGTTCAAATTTAATAGCCAAGGCAAACTGCTTACTGCATTGGTTTTAATAAAGTGCAATCCTTACTTAAGTACTTATAAATAAAAGTGAAGCAGCTATCACTCATGTTGCAGTTGTTTGGCGCTCTGGGGATAGGATTTTTTTTTCATTTAATTTATAGATTACGTGCTTGACATTGACTAATGAATTAATACCTCCATTATGTCCCTACTATTTTCTAGGCTTCAGAAGCAGGCTCCCCTATTTGTATGCTAGGTAGCAAGGTTCTGAAATATAAAACACTGTACAGCAGTACAGAAAGAGCTGATTTTTACTTGTTATTTTGCCTGCACAGAGACAAGGCAAGGAGACCCTCCTTACTGGCTTTGCACCTTCTTTCTTGCTATTTTGATGTTTCAATTTCCTCTGTGCTAAATGAAGAATGCTACATATAGGTAACTAACACGGTACACCACCTGGCCATCTTAACAAATGGAACTGACCAGACAATCAGAGTACTACTACCACTAATACTGAATAACAGAAGGTGATACCACAGATTTGGAGTAAATGTTGTCAGTGAAGTACAACAGTGGCAGGAGAAAATGCACCTGAAGGCATTTTAATCACCTTATTTTTTTCATGCATAGAAGTTAAGTACTAATGTACTATCTTTTCTGTATGTGATTATGTAAATCCAAGAACTTGTCAGGTAAAATAATTATTCAACAACTTCTGCCTATTTGTTCAACACCACTGAGTTTTAGTCCTAATTAGAGTGGGTCTTGCTCTTTAACCACACAGATCAAAGGCATTTTTTCGAGCGATCTCATGTCATCATTATCTGTCAGCTAAAGTGTGGGTGCCAATAGGGACATCTTGAGGAAGAGAATGGAAATACAGTTTATAAACCTCAGTTATGTGGTTAAGCAATGTCTTTTTTTTTTTTTCTACCAAAAAAATTTAACCTGACTCCTCAAGAAACAATGAAAAAAGAATTGGAAAGCAAGAAGAGAGACATAAGCAAAGCATACTTTACTTAACGTGATAGCTGGTTTGTTTTGAATGAATAGTAGTTTGGGGAATAGTTTTGGTGCAGTTGAGGTCAGCATCACTGACAAAGAATTCTCTAGTTGTAAAAACACATTGATCAGTGCTGCCATGAGATGAAACCACTATATTTGTTATGTGTGTTTTATGGATGATTGTAATTTCTACTAATAACTATTAAGAGATCTCTTTAGCGAATTATTTTATATTCTCATAAAGCCAGTGTCTCTTGCTGGTTTATGGTATTTTTGGTCTATGGTTTGATTTTGGTTTATGTTCTTCAGGGCCCAGAAAATCCTTGTTTTAATAGTTATTTGTGCTTTCTAAAACAATACGAAGACTTGTGTCTGTCATCGTGTTAAAATACTGCACCTTACTCATTTCTCATTACCAGGTGAGGTACAGTAAGCCTGTGTTAAGAAGAGATTTTGAATAACTTACCAGATGTGGGGGTTATGAGTTATGAGATATTCTCTGCACATGGTTTTTCTGTATATCTTACTAGAACTATTACTGTATGTCCTTTGGATAAATTCTCTGACTGGGTATTTCCACTGTTTCTATTCCATATAATGTAACATGCTGTCATAGAAGGTTCCTGTTTAGATTTTAATTTCATTCTCATTCATTGCCACTAATTAGTGGAGAAAAGTCTGGTGTGCATAGAAAATGGAATGTTGAATTTGTCAGTAACTACCATTATATTACCAATTGCTTAACACAGGCAGTTACAGGCGTCCCAGTTGTTATTGCTGCTGCTGTTTTTGTTGATCGTCTCATTTCCAAACAGTATGAGAGAGGAGGGTGTGAGGAACAGGAAAGCTCAGAAATCAGATGCTAATGACCCTAACCTTTATTGCTGTACTTCAGCTGTATTTTTCTGCTGACATTGATATATATATATAGCCGTGGAAAAAATTAAGAGACCACTCTATAATTTTAAACAAAGCTGAATTTTTAAATCCTGGTTTAGTTGCGGTTCTGCTGGCTGAGGCTATGCTGAGCAGCAGGACACAAGAATAAGGTGAAGCAGGAGACACTGGGAACGACCAGAAACCAGCCAGGCAAAGGGCGGAAGCGACATTCTAATACCAGAGATGACCGTTAACTTATCCGACAGTTTCTCATGAATCGAAGGATGACATCAAGTGACCTTGAAAAGGAACGGGGAACATTAAGTGCAGGTGTGAAGTGCACTGCTAGGATAGTTTGTATCAGGCTCCTAGAAGCAGGACTGAAGACCATAAAGCAAAGAAGAAGCCCTTCATTAATGAGAAACAGGGAAGAACCAGACTGCAGTTTGCAGAAAAATATATATTATTCAGATGCATAACCATAAATTGAGAAATGAGTGAAACAAAAAATTGTGCTGCAGTCTCTTAACTTTTTCCGTGGCTGTATGTATACATTTATGTGTGTGTGTGTGTGTGTGTGCAATTCTCAATTTGACTTTTTAAAAATTATGGCAAACACAAAGAGGATATTGCCTGGTTTTGAATCTCTTCCAGCTTAATGCCTCTACACATCTCTAATGAGGTCATTCGCCATTGTGTTTCTCCATCCATCCATGTATGTCTCGCTTTTTTTAAATGAAAAATTGCAGTCACTTTTCTAGAGGTTTCTAGAGAGTTACGATTACTCAAACTCGATAACTCCATTATTAAAAAGCATCAATTAAAATTGTTCATCATCGTACATAATACGGTACATGTTACCATATAACATTATTTGTGAATGTATTGTGTGTTCTGAGTAGGGCTTAATGATACTGGAAAATTTCACATTGAAATATTTGAAGTTTTTGTGATTTTTTTAAAAGTTGAAAATGATCCAAATAGAACTTATCTACCAACAAAGTCTGTCAAATAAGTTGGTGGTATTTTGCCGTTAGTTGTGCCAAGAGACACAAAGTAGTGCCGACGAATGACTTGCCTTTGCTCAGTATCCTTTCTGTGGAATACAAAATACGAGGATTTCCATACAGTGAAAGACCAAAGTCTTTTCGTGACCAGTTTCTGTTCGTGTTGACGGCGGGACATTAGCACAGTGGGAGTGTGTTGAGTTTGCATCTTCACCCTGGGAGTTTGTGGATTTTTCGATGGATTCTCTGGTTTCCTTTACTGTTAAGGAACATGAACCTTAAATTCATTGGAGTGTCTAAATTGGCTGTATGTGTGACTGAGTGTGCACCCTGCAATGGCTGACTACTTCCTGCCTGGCGCCAATCGCCTAGTGCTATTATATTATATTATATTATATTATATTATATTATATTATATTATATTATATTAGATTAGATTAGATTAGATTACTTGGTGAATCATCAGATTAATCGGTAGATTCATCTATTAATATAATTGATACTTGATAGTGACAGCTGTAAATTTTTTCTTTAATATTCTCGAAGACCTAGAAATGCATCTGTTAATGGAAATTTTGCATCGTAACGATATCGTGTTTTGTTGCTCCCGCTCCATCCCAGAGACGACGGACGCTGGAAGCCGGCGCGAGCTGAGATCCATGCCTTTCATCACCTACCTGACTGGTCTCCTGGCGGCCCAGCAGCTGGCTGAAGATCAACTGGTGTCGGGGGTGGATATACACTGTGAGGAGAAGGGGCAGTGCCCGGTTACCTGTCACCTGTGTCGCCATTCCGGACGAGAGCAGACTGGACCCACCCCCGTCCTGCTGGAGGTGACCCGCATTGTGCCCCTCTACAGCCTGGTGCAGGACAACATCACCAAGGAGGTGAGAGAGCTAAAGGGAGGAGGAAAGTGTGGGGCAGAATGAGGCAGAAGCTTCCTGCTTTTCCTGTTTCAGATGGTATGGAGTTATCTTACGCCTCTACCTGACCTTACAGAGGTGCAGAGGTCCTCAAAGTGACTGACTTTGAATGACTGACTTTACTCACCAGTTCTACAGTTTGCAAAAGTAATATATGCTGGGTCCATGTGTTAGCCACAATTAGCCAAACATTCCCAAGGCCGGCAATAAACGACAGAATTTTAAAGCCACCAATTAAATCGCATGTCAACTCCATATGCACAAGACAGCAATAGGATTCAAACCCACAGCCCCTAACTACGACACAGTAGTGGTATCCATTGAGTCACCATGCCGCTTTAAGGCAGAGCCAAATTAATTTACTGACATATTTTAAGCAATAAATAACTAATAAAGGCATGGTAAAATAAAGCAGATTTCTATAATATAAGTTAGTTACAATTTTAACGATATTTGGTGTTTTGGAAAAATTCCTGAGCCCACACATTTAAGAAAACTTTGATCCTACTAATAATTTTGATAATATATCTGAAGTTTTTCCTTCCTTCGCACCTAGAATTTCTATTGCTGTTGCTACCTTGCAGTGATAAAATTCACCTATAGATGGCAGAAGTGGTTTAGTTTGGATAGTGGAAGAGATAGCCAGACAGTGCTATAACCCATAATTTCAGATGAAGTAATGCTACCAATACCTATCTGTTATCAGCACAAAATGGGTTATGTGCTCTTCTGTTGACCTTGTTTTCTGACAGTGAGCATTTTTCTCTCTGTGCCTTTTTTTGTGCAAAATGACATCATTTTCTAAATATCCATTTATAAGTTTTAAACATTATATTTCATAGCATTAACATATTTATATAGAGGAAAGTGAACTACTACTGCTGCTGAAATAATAATAATAATAATAATAATAGCTTTTCCTCAGAATTATTTAATTCATGCTTTTTCAAATGCTGTGTTTTTTATGTGTTTATTCACCTGAAGTTAAGGCCTGGCTTGCAGTTTCCTATGATCATTGTGCATATAATTGAATTGTTCTGCAGAAGTATGCAGAAGAATAATTCTTAATTGAAATTATGATTAAACAGCTATAATGTTGCATTTCCATCTCCAGCATGCATCATTGGGCTGCCTGATGCAATTAGGGAGTCACTCCATCTAGAATCCAATGTCAAAATAAGTAATGGGTCTTTGCAAAGAATCCATGCTGAATATTAGTCATAAAGTCAACATATATCTGGCTTGGACTTTCTCTAAAACACACATCTGCAAAACAAAAATATGCATGCACACATGTACAATGACTACTTAAGCATGCATGGACACACACACACCTACATAAAAGCACATCTGTTTTTAATTCAATCAGCCCCTATTAAATTTGTATTTTACCACTTAATTGGCTACCCACTGCAATTCAGTGACAAAGTACATACAGGAGGCAAAACAGCTTACAATCACATAATAATGAGAAAAACCTGTTTTCAATAAATTTCTCAACATAAACGAAAGGGTATGATCAATAGCAGCGGCTCACAAGTGGGTCTGTCACTAAATAGAAGAGGTGAGAAATACCCCTTTCTTCTTGCCATTGTCTAGGGACAAAGGCGACCAATGAATTGTTTGCCATGGCTGCCTCAAAGGTACCAGGGGTTATTAGTTATTAACGCTACAGTAGTTACTTTTGGTAGAAACTATTGGCCTTTTGGCTGCAGATCTGGAAAAAGGTGAAGCCAATTAGCATAACAGAAACACAGGGCTTAGTAATGTTATAAGAGTTTTAGCCTAAATTCAAGGTTTATTTGAACCAACTGCTTAGATTGTTCACTAACTTTGCTTGCCATGTTAATGATGCAATAAGGTTTTGCGTCATGCTATCACCCAGGGTTCACATAATGTCTGATGTGGCTTTAAAAGTAGACATTCTAGTGAATCGTTCCATTATATTCTGATTATCCTCTAACATGTCTTCTAGGGGGTTTACATTGTTACCTTGTAATCATATCTTCTTCCATCACATAATCAGCGTATATATAGTACATGTAATAGAGCTAGTGTATTTAAACATTAATCGTTAAATCGTTTATTGCATAACAAAACTAACTGCATATTTGTTAATGGTGGAAAACTTATCTGGTTATTGATATACATTTAAATATTTAATATGCAATATTTTTCTGGGGCGTACAATTGCTCACACATCCAGGGTCATGGGTTTGATACCCACCACGTTCTCTGCGTAAAGATTATGTGCTCTTTCCGTGTTTCATTCTCACCATGTTCTGTGTGTGTGGAGTGGTTCCTGTTGCATGCCCTGTGGAGGACTGCAATCCCTTCCTGGGTGTCCATTGGCCATGTGGCCTGAGCTTCCAGGGAGGGGGTCCAGGCTCCCCCTGGCCCTGCATTGGATTAGTGGTTATGGAACATGATTTATTTTTAAAAGGCAGTTAAACCAACTGAATCATGCAAAACAAGAAGGTTGCTGCACATAACTGCATATACTGTAGTCACTAAGAGTGTGAATCTTTTACATATTTCTGATGAGAACACAGTATAGTATCAATACTTCTGGTCTTTTCTTTATGCACATTATGCGCTTTATGAACATAGTTTCACAAATGTGGGGCAAACAAAAAATTGGGTCTGAAGAGTACCACGGCGATTTTATGAAGTAAAAATAAGTGAGATAGGTTAATTATTTCAGAAACAAACATTTGCCTAGCTAAGGGCTATTATGGAAAAAAAAAAAAAAATGCTTTACCAATAGCAAAGCTAGACTCTCAAAAGACATTTATATATTCTAAAAGTATATATTGTATGTTATACTTTTAAAATATATATTTTATATTTTAAAAGTGTTACATATCAGCCAACATTCTGGACATACTGGGAGACCTAGAAAGCTGTCAATCAGTTAAGACACAGCACAACCCTCCAGTAGTGGTTGTGACTGTTGAATGTTGATTGTTCATGCTGACAAATAAAAATGTCTGCACAGTGTGTTTATGGCCTTCACATCAACAGTGCACCTACCGAGTAGCAAGTCATAAAGAAAGAAGAAATCAATGAATCAAAAAGCAGAAAATGACCCGGCTGCCCAGGAAACGGGCTTCACGCCTGAGGTCTCATTCTTTTCTGAGCTGCCAGTCGTTTGCTTTTATGTACAGAAACAGTGTTGTGATTTGATTTGTATGGGACGTTGGTGGCATCAGCAGGGATGCCAACCATTTGTAAATTTACAGATAGTCCTTATTAAATTCACCCTTTCATAAACCCTTAAATAAATTCCACTGTCTGTAAAACAGTGAAAAAAAATATGGCATCTTGGTAAAACAGTCAGAGATTTAAGGTTGGTAACCCTGGGCATCAGTCACGTTTAACAAAGGACTTTTTTAAGATTTTCAAAGACATTTCTTATCAAGTCCTGTTACTTTGTGTCAGTACAAACAAACTTTTTGAGATGCTTGTGTGTGTAGCCTTCGGGGGAATGGTGTCCCGTCCAGGCTGTCCAAATGCCTTTTACCCTGTGCTTCATGGATAATCTCCAGGTTAATGCTGTGACTCAGTACCGGAAGACTTTGGAAGATGGATAGATGGATGAGCTATAAATAAATAAGGAAGCTGGAAGTCAAAGTGGTCCTGCATATTTTATTTTTATACTTCTTCAATACATTCATAATGAAAGTCATTAAAAAGACTGAGAGGCAGCACAATGATGAATTAAAGGTCATTCAGCAGCATGCAGTTGTTCTCCATTAAACACGACACAAGCCAGCTAGGTAACTATTCTGTAGTTTGTTTGTATTTCTGTATTTATCTTTCTGTATACTGTCATAGTTTGGCACCCCATCCTGGGTTATTCCCTATCCCATAGCACCTGGGATAGGCTCTGGATCGCAACCCTGCATCGGATGAGTGGGTATAGAAAATGGATGGATGGATATTTTTCTGTTAATATAGCTATCTACTTATGCTCAAAAAGAAGTGACATGTGTTTTGTACATTTACATCCTCATCTCCCAAGTGTTTGTAAATTCTCACAGGAATGGTCTGATTTATAAGCAGTTAATTTGTAGTTACTCACTTGCACCTTTTCTTACTGCTTGGGCTGCCAGTTTTACCTGCGATAACCACAGCTAAGGCTGATTCATTGCAGTGGCATATAATTTGTCAGTTAATGAATGATTTTATGTAGAACTACATAGCCTGTTGTTTATATATCCCAAAATTCCATGTTTTGGTTTCTACCGTGGAAAGCTTATGGTGACAGTATTTCTCTGAACCTGCTAATCTTGCATATTTGATAACATCCATGCTTACTTATTTCTTCAGATGAAGGTGATCAATAAAAGAAATATCCATCAGTTTTATACTTGTATGGTACTTCTAATACCAGCTCAGAACAGAACAAGTTTAGCCAGAACACACATTCTCCAGAAATGTTGCTGTCATGTCTTACATTATAAGCACTTGAGAGGACATTTTCATTATTGGCCATGGACAAGATATCAAGCTACAAAGATCTTGTAGACACAACAGGAAGAATCAAGAAGATGATTCTGTCTCTCTAAGAAAGTTTTATCAGGGACATCCCACCTCAATCAAGTGTTCTCAGTAACAGGAGCTGGAATAACTTCTTGTACATTATCTAATCTGATCAAAAGATTGATCATCTTATTAGCAGGTTTCCCACAGGTGTGTATATACCCATAGCTTTTCTGAAAATGTACAAAGAGGTTGAAAATGAGAGCTTGGCAGCTACATGCTCTTTTGACTTAAGTGGATGGGAAAATGGACCCCAAAATGTACAAAGATGGACTCCCGTGTCATAATCATATATGTTTCTTATAAGCAAGAGACCAGTCTTGTGTTCCACTTCTTTGTCTTTGTCTTAACACCAAATTCAAACCCGCCCTCTTTCTCCAAAGCTAACAACAGTAGCTTGTTCTATGGGATTCCCAAAC